GAGTTAGGGGCAGAACCTGAGCTCAGAATTACCCAGGAAAATAAAAAAGCCAATAGGATGCAGTTCAAACACAACAAGAACAGCATATGGCAGTGCAACAGAAGTAAACAACTGTACAAACACAGGGAGGAAATTGCCCATTCAGTAATAACTGCAAAAATTCAACACTCTGGAGAAATGACAGGTCATGAACGGGCTGTGTCAGCACATTACTGTGAAAAAGGAAGCCTCTAGCCGGGAAATGCAAAAAGGACTGACACCAGGACAACATGGAAAGAAACTCCCCTACTCCAGCTGTCATTGCCAGGGCTCAGCTAGTGGGCAGTGTCCACTCTTGGCATTCCAGAGTCCAAAAGGCAAATGGGAGAATGAGTGACAGACCAGAAATGTGATGTCTGAGTGAGCATTGAAGGAACCAAGACAACCTGATTTAGAAAAGAAAGTAGGCCTAGACAGGATTTCGGCACTCAAAGAAGTAAAAATTACTTCTAGAAAGAAATGCAGTAACGGGAAGAGAAGGCACAGTAAAGCATGGAAGGCAAAGCAGAGAAGGCAAAGCAGGGAAGGCAAAACAGGGAAGGCAAAGCAGTCTTCAGGGAAATTCAGCTCCACACTGGCTTGATATAAAGCCCTGGTCATGTGATGGCTGCTCTTCCCTGATCAATCTCAAGAAACCACTTGCTCAACTCTTCCTCACATGTTGTGAATGCCCAGGGTTTGTTGGCAGRTCCATATTCCTCCAGGGTCCTGTTTCTTGGGTAAGGAGTAGGGCCAAAAATGCCAGAGCTCTGCTTCTTGAGCCTCAGTCTGCCTCACAAGACAGGGGCACTTGGCTCCTGCAGTCACTGCCACTTCTCCTCCCTCCCTGCAATAAGTGTTGGGTATGCAGAGACATTTCCCACTGTGCCTACAGTAATCCCAGCCCATGTGCCTATCAGGCTGTCTTGGGAAAAACATTTCAGGCATGACTATTTTTAAGATCTTGTGGCCTGAGCTCCACCAGCCTGGGCTTGTTTGGTTTCAGAAGCAGCCAAGAAAGTGCTCCTGATAGGGCAGTTATCAATGACCATGCAGGACACAAAACAGCAGGAGGCTCCCTGTTACATCTCCACTGGCCCAGGACAACCTTTACAAAGAAACCACCACAGGTTTGAGCTATGACACAGTGCACGCTGTTCCTCATGGCATTCTCCCCTTGCAGCACAAACTCCTGCCACAGGGCTCCCCAGGATATTTGCTGTGCTCTGGGCACGGGCCCGAGCCAGGGACAGCCAGGCACCTGCAGCAGCCCCGGGGCGAGCAAACCCATGGAGGCAGGAGAGCTTGGCTGCAGGGCCTTCCCCAGGGCAGGGAAGGAGGAAAAACCAGGATGGGAACAGCCTCAGCACAGCACTTTTGTCAGGGCTGACATCCCAGGGAGGAAAAAAGAATGAGTTGGTGGGGATTTTATGGGAGGTCTATGTGTAAGCACGGCAGAAGGACGCCCCCGGGCTGAGGGACATGTGAGCCACCCCAGAGCCCAGCCGACTATTAGGACTCAAGCCTTTATGTTTCTTACGGTGGTCCGAAGAGGAGGCAGATTAGTCCCTGCAAATGAGTCCAGCTCCGCTGTCCCGAGTTTTTAAGCTGAAAGTCGGTGGGGCTGGGCGCAGGAACAGCTGCCCTTTGCCAATGGGCGACGCTCGGCCCTGGCACTGGGCCCGTGTCCGGAATGAGAAACCCTCCGTGCCRAGCCCGGCTGAGGGGCATCCCCCGCCCGGCGTCCCCCACGCGTGGGCTCGGCTGTTCCCGCAGGTTTTACTCCCATCTAGCGGCGGATCCCGGCTCCACACGGSGCTCGGCAGGCGGGAGAAGGCATCCCGGGGCCCGCAGCTCGGCTCGGGCCGGGGCACTGGGGCCCCCTCGCTGTGGAGGGGACGAGGTGACACCGGCAGGGCAGGGCAGGGCTGGGAGCTGCCCTGAGGGCGGCCCTTCTGCCTGGTGCAGGGCTGAGGGGTCATCCCTCAGCCTGGCCTCTCCCACAGAGCTCTCAACGAAAAGCTCCTGCTTAACATCTATCCCGGCTTCTCCCCGAGCCGCAAGATCTCAGCATGGGCTGCTCATCCTTCCCTTTACCAGACCTTCCGAAATTTGGATCGTGCTGGATGAGACCCCCTTGAGCAAAATGGGCCACGAAGCATGTGGCACCATCAACAGGAGCTGCAGCAAGTGTCTGGGAATGGAGATTTGAATCTTTCTCAAATCTTCTCAGTATTGGGCAGTCTGAAAAGGAATAAAATTACATCATTCATCGTAGCACAAGCCCATTTTGTTAGGCACAAAAGATCAGTGTGGAGAAGTTCAGAGGGTAGAATCCAGTGAAGAAAAAAACTGATATTCATCTGTGAACCAAGATTCGCTTTACAACCTTTCCAAAACCTTGCAAGAATATAGGATATAAAAAATTGCTCCAGGTAGTCTGCTCTTGCAAATACTTTGTTCCAGCCCTGAAACACCGGGGTTTTCCCAGCAGCTGCTTTAAACCCAGTCCATCTTTTTTAACTGCTCACAGACTGSCACCCCTTTTACAACACCCCATTGGGGCAATTGCAATGGCCCYGTACAGGCTGTGAGAGCCAAGCTGGACAGGACAGGTGACCACAGCTCCTGCAGTGTGCAAGGTGCAGCTCAGGGAGGGCAGCTGGGACCAGGCTAAAAACCAGATTAGCAATAGGAGACAGGAGAGTTAGTGCATGTGAAGCTGGTACCTGTAGCTCGGAGAGATGTAACCAGAGCTCCTGGAAAGCAAATAGGAAAGGCAAACCCATGTAGGATGATTTATTTTGGCTGCTAATTTGATCTCACAGAAGTGGAGCCACATGGTGGGGTGGTGGGGAGGCACCCATATGGTCTTAGGTCAGATTGAGCCAACTAAAACCTTATCCTAAAGCTCTTTACTGCAGCAGGAAGTCCAGCTGCCGTGGAGTGGGAATAAATCAGGTCCTTGGGTTCTGGCTCTACAGCACTGCCTCCCAGCCTCTCCTCTCCACACTCAGAAGTTCCAGGTATTCCTATAAAACACAGGACACATCCCGACAATTCTGCTCATCGTTCCTTTCACAATCTTCCCATAAACCTGCTGGTTATTTGGTGGGCAGAGACATCTAAGTGCTGTGCATCCTACTTTACAGCAGAGTTCCCAGTGGTTTGTTGTCCTGCAAGTCTCACACTCTGGTAAGGGCCACTCACAGCCTGCACAATTGATATATCACATAGGCATGTTTTCCTGTAACGCCCCATAATAATAACGCAAATAATAAACATGAAAGAGCCCCGGCCCTTTCCGTATCCCAGTGCCACTAGATGGCACCAGGAGCGTACCCTTCCCAGCCCGGGTGTCCCCAGGGCCGCTGAGGGAATCCAGCCCAGCCCYTGCTACAGGTCCAGGTAGCTCAGCACACACCAGTGCCTCCTGCTCATCTTCTCCATATGGACCATGGGGTGCTGCGGTAAAGGCAGACATTTCAGAGCTAAAATCCAACCTTCAGTGATGCGCTGGGGAGAATTGCCTGTGGTGGCTTTTGCCGTGCTACCTGTCTCACACRTAGCCCTTTCCCCACCCATGGACCAGGCATTGCTCCCAGCTGCATGCTGGAGAGGAAAGCCTCAAAGGTGGGTGCAAGTTATTCTGATTAATAATGGGATTCATGTAAGAGTTTCCCATCACTGACAGGCTCCTCTAGGGAGGGAAGGGAATAAAACACAATTTACTATATAATTTTGCAATCAGAMGGCTTGCCTTCTCTGAGGTCTTACAGTTTTAGGGACTGATTCTCCTCATGCACGTTTGATATCCAACAGAGCTCAGCATGTCCCAGGCTACCTGTGTTTTTCACTATCAAGTCCTCCATTCCCTGTCACATCCTTGGCAAAACCATTAAGTAAACCAGGGAAGCTCAGGTGGCACCTCAGCAAATGTCAGGTGTTCCCTCAGACTTTGCAGCATAATTAAGGAGCATCTGCTTTCCRCTGTCCTCAGCATGCAGCACTGAAGGTGACCCTCGGAGATGGGAGCTCAAATGAGGGAAGTGCTGGTGAGGCCCTGTAGCAGCACTTCAAAGCAGCTAGCCAAACCCTGGCCCTGAGYAGCATGGGGGACTCGGGTGACAAATCATTGCTCATCACACAACCCTTCTGCCCAGTGCAGAGCTGGAGAGGTSATGAACAGCTTCCAAAAGAGCCAGAGTAGCCTGTCACTCCTTCCTRCCCACATCCCAAGCCTGGTGTGTCCAGGTCATGGATGAGCACACCAGTGGCACAGCCCTTGTACCAAGGGGATCCTAGTGAAATCTTGGGTGCAAAGGGACTGAGAGAGGGACTCTGAGTGAGCCTGTCCTGCTCTCAGAGGTGGAGTCACTGGACGTAAGACCAAATGGGAGATGCATAGCACAGCTCCGTGGTGGTGCTGGCAGGCTGGTGGCAGTGGCAGGGCTGTCCCTGCCCTCACCTCAAGGCCACAAGGTAATCCTGCAGAAGGATCCTGAGTGTGACCCTGCTTCCCAGCCCACTGCAGAGAGCAGCAYAAATCCCACACAAGCGCTTTAACCCCAGGTTAGGGTGAAGGCTAGAAAGGAGAAGGCTGGATCGCCTGGGAAGGCCAGGTCACACAACAGAGTGGGTTAAAATCCCTCATCCTCATTCCATCAAACAAGGAAAATCCCTCATCCTCCTTCACTGTAGCCTCTCCTCCCCTCCCTGATCACCTCAGAAAGTCCTAGGGACTGACCCAGCATCCCCCTTCCATTGCTTCCCCGCCTGGGGAGCCACCAGGAGCTTCCCCACACACCATCTGCTCTCCCCAAGTGATTTGCGGGTGCCCAAGGACATCCCTCCCATACCATCTGCCTCCACACCAGGCCACATCTCCCATCACCCCCCACACCCACCCCAGCCAACATCTCTGGGCCCTCTGGCTCTGGAAATCTTCACATGTGCCACCTGCACAAAACCTCATGGACAAACTGAAGACTTTATTTGGTCTCTCCATGACTGGATGCTTCACACACGGTGTAGAAACTTGCTGCCACAAAACCCCATTGATCCACACACAGCGATGGCAAGTCTGGCATCCCTCAGGGCTCCCAGCTGCTGATTCCAGGCAGAGCACACCCTTGTCACGCTGTGGATGTCAAATGGCACAGACACACATGGACATCGATGTGTACATGGCCAGAGTGTCCGCATGCTGAGGGATTATTTTTAGCCTGACAGTGATCAAAATGTCAGAGAGGGTTTTATTTATTTTCTCTGGAAGGCTTGTTGCTTGAAATCCCCTTTGGCAGAGGCTGACCCYGACCCTGCTGTCACAATAGGATCTGTCATTCAGTTCTGTCATCCCTTCCCACCCTTGAAAAAACRTGCAATTCAGCAGGAGGGAAGGGTGACTGGCCCAGTGTGCCTGGCAGGGCTGGCAACCTTTGGGAGGCAGGTGCCCATCCAGTCCTGCAGTCCAATCCATACCCACCCAGCCAGGCTGCAGCTCCCCCAGCTCCCCCAGCCTTCCCAGATCCAGAGAAGGTCTCACTGAAGCCATAATGGACAGCTGAAATGTGAGGGACACCAGAGCTGGTCTTTGGAGCAGCCGTGCAGTCAGGAAGGGCAGGCAGGCCATGGGACACTCGCTGTCACTGCCCTTTAGTGACGTGAGAGATGAAGTGTAACAGTTCCAAGGTCTTCTGGTGCCCTGAAAGCACACAGAGGACTCCCTGGAGATGAAGCAACCTGTTTCTTCCTGCTCCTCTGACACTCACCCCACACTCACACAGAACAGCGCCAGGAGCAAAGCTAATGACCATCACAAACCTGCCCTGGCTCCTGTYCAGCCCACAGGACCCCATCTGCATGCAGGGCTCTGGAATGGGACACCTGTGTCCCTGGGGTGATGGAATGTGGCAGCAGAACATGGCAGCACCCAGCTGGGTCTGCATTTCCCAGGGTACCAGGGCATRACATGTCCACTGCCACATACGTTGATAGGTTATGCACAAATTTTCCCTTTTCTTGTTAGGAAAGTAGACTTGAGAGAGAATGGCTGCTCAGAAAAGCACTGGCACATCTGAGGTACAGGTTTTTTTGCTTGTTTATGGTGAGAGGAGAGAGGAGCAGCAATGGCCTATATTCACAGAGTAACAAAGGAGGGCCTTGAACCATATCCAGCTTGGAAGCTGTGACCAGTCCATAGATAACCAGGAAGAAAAGTTGGTGTTTTCCCCTCGGAATGGCCTATTTACATCTGAAAACTAGCAAAGACCTTGCCCAGAGGCTGGGACAAACACTCCTTTCACTGCCTGCTTCCCATGAGGCTTTCCCCTCCCTCTCTAAGAGGAAATTTCCAGTAACTGAGGTATGAAAACCAATTCAAGACTATGCTCCAGAGCCAGCTGTAAAACTCGTACAGGAAGGACTCCCCATCCCACCGCTCACATGGCAGGCTACCCCCAAAGCAGGTCACAGCCTTCATGAGAGAGGGAAGAGATGGCTCTGTCTGCATCCTTCTGGTGCACGTCAGGCTTTGGGGGGTGGACCAAGGTGCCCARACCTGTGGGCACTGCCAGCACAAACAGCCAGGCAAGATTCCTTAACAGAGGTCCTGGTTCCCTCGGGAGGTTGCAATGCTGGGACACCATGTGGTACAGCAGTCCCTGGTTTCATTAGAGATTTCATGGAACAAGGGATGGAAACAGAGAGGAATCTGGTGAGGGGAAACCTTCTTCCTCCTCCACACTTGCCACCATGCCATATCCTGGGAATAAYCACCACGACTCATCTGTAGGAAATTTTGAAGAAATGTCTTTCTACCGTATCCAATTAATCTTCCTCTTGGACTTTACATGTAAGATTAGGATTTGAGCCACACGGTTTTCCTGCAAAAGTGCAGGAATTGTGTCTTCCATGGCTGACAGGATTCTCCATGCATCCAGCTGCATGTGAAGCYTTCAGGGAGTTGTGATGGCAGATGCTGGCACATGGGAGCAAGGCCTCATGTTTCTCACAGCAGGCCTGAGGGAAGGCAAGAAAAAGGCTGGGTAATTAAATATCACTTGTCAGAGCATGTGCAAGAGTCAAACAGCAGAAACATCCCTCCTGTGCACACTCTTGCATGAAGCTGTATCRACATTCATCTGCTGAAATCCTGCAGTTCCTGGGCTAAGCAATCCATGCATCCACAGTCATAGGCAGCACCCCTGGAGCTGCCTGCCCTCTCTAGGCAAACCTTCGCACTCCTCTTTTGGAAGGACATTTTGTGCTAACATGAAACAACCAAAACTGTGCTTTTCCAAAGTCCTGCCACCTCCGTACACAGGAGGGACAAATGTGTTCCTGGCTTGGACAAAGCAGCTGAATCCCAGAGTGTCAGGTCACACCCCGAACCATAGCAGCAAAAACACAGGGCTGAGATGGAAGGAGGAAGGTGGCACATCCCGTAACTGCTTTCACGTTTACTGGTACCCCCGAGCTCATGTGAGGCCACCAAACTGGGCYAGGTGTGTGTAAACCACACTGCAGGCTCAGCCAGGTCTGCTGGGGTTTGGGAGCCAATCTATCCAGAGGATTTCAGCAAATAGGAGATTAAGTGACTTACAATGTTTTAAAAACATGTTCTTTGATATCTTTACTAAAGCAAAGGTGATCCAATGGGTAATTTCTTTAAAGGAAGGTATAAATGTGGGTGGCTGACAGCCAGTTCATTATATCAGAATCAGTTTTCATTAGGAAGGGGAAGCCTGTGTGGTTATTAATTGTTCCTCTAATTGCTTTCACTCCCTGCTACCAGGGCAGCCTGCTGCTTGCCTGTGCCTGGAGGGCCCAGGTCAGAGTCCTGCATAACTCATCCCTGATCAGCTGACATGGGTSACTATAAATAAATGGTGACACCTGAGAGTGGAGGAGGAAAGGGACTGTGCTTCTCAACCTGAGATAGTCTAGTCAGCTTATGCAACAGAAGGTGACTGGTGACACTCTGTAGTTATTAACTGAGMGGGACTATTTCTGATAGCTGAGGGCTCTGACCTGGCCAACATATAACAAAATTCTCCGGCTCTGAACTGGAGCTGGATAAATTTGGACTAACAAGAAGTTGCTGGTTATTTAAAGTGAAGAAAGCAGCTGCATGTTCTCCACTAAGAAGTATTTTAAAACCATGAGGAACTGCTTAGCTTCAAAATCTGTTGCAACTTACTTTAAAAAAAAAGTTAAATGCCCATTTGTGACTATGAAGGAGTCCCTTGGGAGACTGAAAGGCTCCAAATGAGCCTTGCCAATTCTCACCAGGGGATTTAACACCTTACAGTGACAGTCATCCCTCTGATTTTAACCCTCCTTCCTTCTGCCMCCAGCTGCAGCTGCAAGCCAGCTGGGCACACTCACCTCTGGTTCTCACAGCATGGCACAGTCACCCTAACGGGGACAAGCTGGTTTAATTAATGCAGCTGTCACAGAGGGGGCAGTGGTGGGGCTCACATATCCTTCCCCTTGGTACCAGRAGGACCACAGAGAATCCCTTGGCTTGCTCTGCTAGGAGGAACAGCACTTTCCCAGCAGACCCTGCCCATGCAGAGGGTAAGAGCTGGGAAGGAGGGGATGCTGCAGAGACACCTTGCTGCAGGGACACACAAACAGGAGTGGCAGATGGGGAGGAAGAGCCCTGTCTTCTCCTTTGTCCCTGCTGTAACCTGAATCACTCATCTAAGCATTCAGCATCCTTTACTGCCTAGAACATGATCCTTCAGGATGTGGAAGTCTGCAGGCAAAGAGGGGGAAGTAGAGCCTGTGTATAGAGCAATGAGGACCTGGGGGTGGTGAAGCTACAGATCCACCTCCCTGTAAGCAGRGACACCTACCTGTGCAGGTACACAYGTTACAYACAAGCACACTCACACACACCCACCTTTGCTAGCAGCAGAGGCAGCCACAGAGCCCATATTTTCTACTTTTTACTTCTATATCTGCAAAAAGCAAGTTTGCTTCTGTTTCCAATTCCCTGCAATTTTCGTCAAATGCCTTCAAGAGAGCAACTCTGTCTTCTCGGCTGAGGGAGTCTTTGATGTCCAGCACTGCACTCAGATGTTCCTTCCTTTCCAAAAGGATAAGAGGGTAGGTCAGTGAATGAGTCAAGGGAAAAAAAGCTTGTTTYCTGTCACTCAGTTTAGTTGGACCAGACCAAAGACTGGAAGCTGCTTTTCGGCACCCTCYGGCTACCTAAGGGGGAGGCCATATCCCAAGAGCTGTGTAGGATATGGCTGAGCTGATGGGTTCYGAGACCAGGACACACAGTGCCCCTGTGAAGTATTGAAAATGTTCAGCTAAGTTTATTCCTAGGAAAAAAACCATATCTGTCATAACACATTGCAGGTAACTCTATATTTGATCACTGGGAAGTATTTTCGATATAATTTCCCCCCTCAGATGGAGCTAATTTTTGTTCATGTGGAAGGTTATAGGATTTTTGTTCTACAGAACACTGTTCCACTGAGTGGTGTAACACCGTATTGGATATCAGGCAAATGTGTCCAAGCCAAGCATCTTGAAGCAGAGAAATCTGTTGTAATCAAGAACAGTTCATCCACTCACACCAGGATGACCTCCTCTGAGATCTGGGTGTTCTGAGAACTTTCTATGCCTACTTCCTATACTATATATACATACATAAATAATTGTTATGCTGTATCAGATAAGCAGCTTTTTAGCTCAATAGCATCTTCAAAAGTAGTAAAGTAAAAATGAAGTAAAAAACCAGATGAAGCATAACATGATTGCTTTGTCCTTCTTTTTATTTATTTTCTTGCCTACAGCAATCCACAGTGTACAGACTTCCCTTGCTACGGGTTATATCGTGACTGTCATGTTGACTAGGCKCTGAAATAATTATCTACCACAAATTGTCTGCCCCACATTTGAAAGTATTCACACTTTTGGCCTTCACAGCATCCTGTGACAGAGAGCTGTATGCTGCAATCATATTAAGTTAGAAAAACACAGGCACTAGCATAGCACATCAGAACAAAAGATAGATGCAATAAACGACAGGCTTTGGAACAAATGCAGTTAGCTAAAATCTCTCCTTCCTAGCAAAAGCTGTGTTTCAATTCTGTTAACAGTTTTCTGTAAGAAATAGAAGTGTGTATTCTTGCTGAATACACCTAGAATTTTGTGAAAATAGTTATATAAGGAATGGTGAAGTGTTGAAGCCAAAAAGCCAAGTGCTTCAAACCTGTGAAATGCCTGAGTTAAAGATGTTCCTAAAACCTACATTTTACACACATGTGCCTGTAAATTCTGCCTTCAGGTAGTACTTTTCCACAACATTTCTGCTGTGCCAGCAGCAATTCCATCCATCCTCCACCTTGACAGAAGGACAGCTCAAGTCCACCAGTTCAAGTCTGGCAAAGTTATGAACCATGTTAATCAGCATCTGCAAAGAGGCAGCACCGGGTACATTCAAAGGTGACCCCACACTGCAAAAGTATCACAGGGCTAACATTGCTGTAAGCCTTCTGGTGTCAAGTAATCATGTAAGAAAGAACAGAAGTCAAACCAATAGAAACATTACCTGAGCTCAGGAAATTCTTTTAGAATGGGCAGAAGTGCTATTTTCATCCCCTCAGCATCAGAAGTTTGAATAAGTTCTAAAATTGGTTTTATGGGATCCTTCAGAGAACCAGCTGCAGAACCCTGGAGAGAGAAGCAATGGTGTGATCAGGACAAGGGAAATAGCACACCATGTGAARAGCTGGACTCATTGTCACACAGGGGATCTCTCTCTGTGTGGGTTGGAAGCTTTGCAGGAAAAAAAAACCTGGRGAGTACTCACAGATTGCTTCCARGGCGGCTGGRCAGCTATCTTCAGCAGAGCAGAATCCCCTACTRCATTTCTTTTAGCAAAGCTGGCAAATGTACCTAATTTTTCCCTAAATTGCCTGTCCTTTCTGGGTCATTTCACCCTGTGGGAAGTGGTTTGTTTCTGGAGGAAAGCACAGCCCTGTGCTTGACCATTGTGTAAACAAGCCTTGTTGCCCAAAATGCTGGCGTTGCTACTGCACCAAAGCAAGCCCAGGGACAGAGAAACAGCCTTAGGGAGAGGATGAGGGTACATAGATCCTCTGACAGAAAAAAAAAAAAATGGGAAACAGGGCATAGACAGCGTAACAGGGCGTAGACAGCRTAAAGAATATTATGTGGTTTGTAGAGGCTGCATACAATCAACTTCCTCCAACTGGAGCACACAGGAGAAAAAAGCTTAATCACAAAACAAACAGCATTTTTAGCAGAGCTGGAGAAGCAGAATACAGATCAACCACCAAGAGAGAGCTTCAGGTATTGCTCACATTCTTCATCAGTGCAGCCATGCAATTAAATTGCTTCCCACCACCAAGACAGAGCTTCAGGTCTTGCTCACATTTTTCATCACTGCGGTAATGCAATTAAATTGCTTCCCTGAATTATTAATGCCACCACATCAGCAGAAACTGTGACAAAGCAAACCTGGAAAAAGGGCTGCCAAACTGGGACAGGAGAAGCCCAGGTTCCCCTGATCTCCACGGGGCATTAGAAACAGCAGGTCACATTCTTCATGCAGCACCTTTGCATTGAGCATAAATTAAAAATAATAATAATATTTGGAGACAGCCTTCCCCCTCTCTCCCTGCACTGCAGGCACACAGCATGTCTGCTCTGCTCAGTGAACAAGCTGTACTCAGCTCCTGAGGCACTGGTGCTGTACAGCTTCATACTTGGCAAGAACACTTTTACAAAATGCTAATTAATTTGAAGGCGTCAGATTTAGTTAAGCACTACATAGACAGGCAAGGTCAGAGGTAAACAGCCTGCAGCCTAAAAAAAAAAAAAAAAAAAAAAAAAAAAAAAAAAAAAAAAAAAAAAAAAAAAAAAAAAAAAAAAAAAAAGAGGTGTCTTGTCAGCAGGGTTTAAGTGCCTTTGACACATACTGCTCTTAGGACAGAAGCAAGGTATTTCCTAATGTGTTTTAAAAATGGAGGAGAAGGAAGAGCCCAAAGAGAGGGCAGAGCAGGGCAAGGAGCAGGTGCAGCCAGTGCAGCCACTGCATGATGAATTCAGTCTGCAGCAGAGTACATGCTTCACATGCATAACCGTGTTCCTCATGACTAAGGATCGGGCTGTCCCCTGCAAATCGCTTGAGCATTTCACCCCCAAGGCTTTTGGTGTTCTCACATCAAGTAAGAAAGTGCACACACTGGGGGCACTGGGGGAACGGTGCTAACCTGATGCAATCCTTTTTCACCTAAGCTGAATGTAGGGTCTAAACAGATAATTAGATTACCTGTATGTCCTTCACACTCTTCCTTGCACATTACRTCCAAAGTGATGCTGAGCGCAGTTTTACTGGTAAACTTCAGTGTTAAGTTTAGAGAACCTTCCTGCTATTCCCCATATGCTGCTCAAAGCATTGATTCATCTGTGATCGATCATTCTAGGAGAGGTGGGTCTTCAGCTAAAAGCACAGGCAGCTTCCAGCTTTCTACCATGAAACTAATGCATTAATTATAAAGGGTCTGAGAGGATTTTAGAAAAGCCTRCAGAAGATCACTTTTATTTCATTTTATTCATTGGATAAGGTAAGAATTGCTGGCAAATGCCTTGCAAGGGACTCATCTGTGAAAAAAATAGATTTTCAGTCCCTAACACTTCAACTGGCAAGTTGTAAGAATGACTCAGCATTTCTGAAATTATTAAACCAGTATAGCCAAGGGGGTTTATATGCTCTGTCACATCTGAGTCCTGTCACCAGGCTGACTTTGCAACAACTGCTGTGCTGCTCAGCCCAGCCCCGTATAAAACACCATGCCTGGGCACTCTCAGCCTGCATCTGCTAATGAGCCGTGCCAGGGACATTGCACGGCAGTGAYTCTCCAACTGGAGCAGCTGCAGGAGGGGACGCTGTTGCCTTTGCAGTCCTTGCCCTTGGGTAATCAAGGGACCCATGTGACAGCCTGGTGGCATCAGCAAATGCTGCGTGCAGTACTGCCAATTACACCAGATTATGAATTGAGGCTTTTTTAAGCTTCTGAAGTTGTTTCTGCAAATCAGAACCAGCACTTCTCCACAAGTTTTCTTCAGAGGTGTGGATTTGCTTTTACACCCAATACTCTGCAATGCGCTTTACCTCTTAATGGTGTGAGTTGTTTAGCCCTGCAGGGAGACTCGTTCCTCCTCACAACCCTCAGCAACCACAACAGCATCAGCATGTTTTTGCCATAAGGCAATGCCACAGCACAGGGAAATGGCTCAGACAGCCATCATCCCAGCTCTGAGAGGCTGGGAAGGGCCTGTGGGGAGGGAGGAGGCTGGACAGAGGGGGAGAAACGCACACCCCAGAGAGAAGCAGCCATACAGGACAACCCACAGAGCAGGTGAAGACGTGGAGCAGCCAGTTTTCCTCAACCCAGAGGCTCAAGGGAAGGCATTGCCATCCCATGCAGTGTATCAGAGAGCTGATGKGGGGAGATGGCAGCTTTGGAGCTGTCTCTCCAGCTCAGCAGAGCACGCCTCATTCTTGTGTCAGTGGCAGCAGTGCGAAATTTGCCTCCTCCAGTCACACATTTCAAAACCATGAACTAACAGCTTCTGACAGATCAGAAGGGCTGTCAGCATATCTGACTGTCATTTCTGTGAAGCTTGATACCCCTGTGGTAAAAACTCTTAAGCTKTTTTGTTGCTTTCAGTCTTTTCCTCTACTGGTGGTGTTCTTGATGACAGAGAGCAAAGCTGTAACCTTATCAAAGACTTACTAAGCACTCTCTAAAGATGGTTTGCATCATCCTATAATCTTCTTCTATCTTGTTGACAATCCTCTTCCTCTGCACAGAAGATGGTTTCCTGGGAGTGGTCAGGAGGGCTTGCATGTATTCTGTAATAATGATGGCATTGACAGCCTTGACGAGGGCCTGTTCCAGAGCAAAGACACCCAGATTAACTTCCCTGCACTGAGCAAGGTCCAGAACACACCTATGCCAGGGCAGGCAGCAGATATCGTGCCCATGCAGATGTCTGTCCCATCCTTTGCCTAAGTGTTAATTTAAAATGCTTGATCTAACACTTGGACTCGCTGCAAGCTGTACGTGGATGACACAAACCTTGACGATTTGTGTGGAGACATCCAACCAAAAACAATGGGACCAGTTAGCTGAGCCAGAGGACACTCACACTCCAGAGCTGCAGCAACACTTGGCTTGGCTATCAAACACATCACCTGGGGAGAGCTTGGGCTGCAGACAAAGCCAGATCCAGCCTCCCTGGAGCATCCACATTTGACACAGGACCATGCCCTTGGGCATACAGTTGTGCCTGGKCACAGAGAAATTACCTGGGCAACTCCCTCTGAATTACCACTACCTGCTGAGGAACCCCGGTGTGGAGGTCATGGAGCACCTGACWGGGACAGTGAGTGTTTCTGAAGGGAGGTGGGCTGTTGCACAGAAACCACGTTGCATTAGCAATTGAAATCAGAGCAGCTTTAGGCTGCAGTCCAAAGGTACAGGAAATCCCCAGCTCTGTCCAAAACAGACAAAGCAAGAGACAGAGCTCTGGCACAGCGTTTCACCACCGAGCTGCTGCGTGCCCCAGCACTAATGTGACATAATGTCCAGTGACAGGCTTTGAACAACAACAGAATGGATCCTATTTTTTAATCTTCCATTACCTTTTTCCATATTGCAAAATGTTAATTAAAATCAGCACTGACAAAGAGACTGCACACATGGGGGTCCCGTGCTTAGGGTGAAATGTGGACACATAGCAGCAGCAAACCCAGCCTGCACACAACAGAGGGTTCTCTAAGTACAAACTTCATTGCTGAAGAGACAGACTCAAGGGTGTTGTGAGATCCTAGACAAGTTGCTTAGGCTACTGTAAAGGTGAAAAAACTTGGGTCTTCAGGAGGTTGTTCTTTGCCAACGCTCTGCATGAGAGACTAMGCCCTTTAAGAATCGGGACTTTTCACCCCTCTGTGCCCACTCTCCATCAAAAAGGATAAATAATCCTTAAAAATAAGGTTGAAACACATTAGAAGCTGAGAAGATTTCCAATATAATGGTATTGGGGTAGGATCAGAGGGAGCCCTATATTCCCCTCTGTATTTGGGAGATGCATTCAGTTTCTACATTTCTTCACTTGTTGGTTTCTCTGCTGAAATTACAGAAAGGTCCCAGCTGTCACTACTGAGCTCTGGTGGACAGAGGTAGTGGATTGAGACCAYTAGATATTTAAAAGCCCATTTGACAACAGACAAAAGTGTAGTTTAGATTAATGTTCAAATACTGTGCCATCCAAAGGTTCAATGACTAGTTTTCTGACTTCACAGAATCATAGAATGGTTTGGGTTGGAATGGACCTTAAAGATCATCTAGTTCCAACTCCCYTGCYATGGACAAGGACATCTTCCACCAGAACAGRTTGCTCAAARCCCCATCCAACCTGGCCTTGAACTCTTCCAGCRGTGGGGCATCCACAGTTTCTCTGGGCAACTTCTTCCAGCACCTCACCACTTGCACAGCAAAGAACTACCTCCTAAAACCTCTTTTAGTTTGAATCCATTCCMCTTTGTCCTGTCATTACACGCCCTTGGAAAAAAATCCCTCTCCAGCTTTCTTATAAGATGATTTCCTGAGTAACATCTTGTTCTCACTTTCTTACTTATTTCATACCTCATATATATCTGGTTTTTTCTTCCCAAAGGTCAAAAAGCTTTGCTTTAAGGATTCAAGGAAAAGGTCAAAACCACTGTCACACTTTTTGAAGTGGTCCTTTAGTGTTCCCTGAGGAAGAGAAACAGACAGAGTCAAAAGGTGCACAAACAACAGACACAGATTATTGTGCCTTTGCTCTTTCTGCTCTTGGAAACAGACTGCTCCACAAACTGCACCATCCTGTGCCTTTATTTCAAAGAAAAGCAAAACATAAAAGAAAGATACAATTCCAACTCAGGAAGGATGCACTAAGTTCTTAAGCCCAAACCTGGAAAACCTGAGCTCTAGGCCTCCTGTTCCTCCAGAGGGCTGCCCATGCTCCCTGCCAGAACCGCCCCCAGTTCCCATCTGGATGTGTGAGCCCATAGGACAGGCTGGCACTGAGTTCTGGAGAGCAAAACTGCACAGTGTAGCCAGAGCTTCTCTTGTCATTTTCCTTTTGCTGCCTTCAGTGTCTCCCAGGGAGCCTTTGCAATGAGCCTGAGGATGCTCAGGGGAGTTTCCTGTGAAATGCACAGGACCACACACCGCTAGCAGCCTGGAATTCTGTGTTTTCCAAACACAGAACCCAGGATATGAGGGATGTCTGGGCTCATAGGCTGATACTGGAATGTGTGAGAGGAGGGAYGTTATCTCAAGGGAGGAACACATTTCTGACCAGCCTTCTCTAGAGCCTGACTACCCAGCACAGCCCTGGGCTCTCTGTGAGTTATCACTGTCCTGGGAAGATGCCCAGACACTGGGGATTAATAGGTACCAGATTAAATTCAACTTTGGGGGTCTTGGTACCRATTTGTAGCACAACAGCAAACACTATAAACAGTGAAACTGGGATCCCAAAACTGGAAATGGTGAAGCTGTCCATATACAGATTCTGACAAGGCAGAGGAGAGTACTGGGCTTGAAGGCCAAACTAAGGCTTCACCCTTTCCAAATCAGAACATGRAAGGGAATTGCATGCCAGCTATACAGTCTGAAAATAGTCAGTGTTAAAATGGGTCACCCATACCTTGACTTCAGAAGTGATGGTCTGTAGAAAATGCTCCATAATGTCATCTTCCATCCTGTCTAGAAATCCATTKGCCTTAACATTCTGGCCAGTGCTGATGCTGCAAATGTATGTTAGCTTATGCCAGACAGTTCTGTTAAAAAAAAATAAATATGGAAAATATTGATTGGATCAAATCATGTTATTCTCTCAGATCAAAAYTCTTTCTACTGTAACCAGCACAGCTGCCTGGGTAATTGAATGGACACATGCTCAGGTCCAGGGCTGACTCAGTAACCTGCATTTGTGCATCCATCTTCCGGATGTCTCTCATGAAGACACTGGCACAAGGACATAAAAGTTCAGTGCACACAAATGTCACTGGTACCCTTCATTAGTGAGATCAGATCAGTAAAAAATTCTAGTATTTTCAAAAACAAGCAAACATGACATGGTCTCAACAAACAGAATCTGAGTGAGCATCCTGTGTGCCTTCGACAGCTTACAAATACAAGACAAACAATTATCTTCCAACAGAAAAGCCTTCMAGTCAGCAAATACTGGTTAAAATTATCACCAGCTTGAAACCAGACATTTTACATTCTGGAAAAGCTCAGTGTACWACTTCACTCTCAGTAACGCTGTAAAGAATTACATAAAAGAGACTCATAAGTATTCAGTCTAGGATCCAGCATCAGCAATGTGCAAATACAACAAACAAAGCAGCTACCTAGGCTCAACACAAGGCTCTGATGTCAAGTAATTACTGTGCATATGCTGGATTTTGGCATTTTGCTGACTCCAGAAATCCCCAGACAACTTTACACAGGAAGAAGAGAAGCAACCTTGTTTTCTCTGTTGYTGCAAGTGCTTCTGAAATTAGCTCGTAGGTGCAAACATCCTCCTCCACCCTTCTGTGCTTTATTGCTTGCCTCCTTCCTAGCAACCCCAGGGAGAGCCTGGCATATTCCATGGGGTTTCATTCAGCAAAGCACTTCAGATTGCACCTACCAAGTGCACTAGCACACACATCTCAGCATTTATGCTCAACCTTTATGAGGCTTTCCTGCTGAAGGACAATCAGGCCAGGGAAAGGAATGACATCACAAGCCACAGCAGGGCTAGCCAGGATGGTCCCCACATGTGACAGCACTGCTGCCTGCTTCCTGCTCAGTGCAGGAAGGGGGAGATGGTGGATTCAGCAGTGGCCCATGCACCTGCAGGGCCTGGGAGGTGGCAAAAAGGCGCAGTACAGTGCTACCAAAGCAGCAGTCAAGGGCCTGGCCACTGTCACAGCCCCCATCTGAGCCTCCCTCTTGCTGGGGCAGCCAGGACACCTCTGAAGGGGTTTTGCTGACAGCAGCTGACTTCCCTCTTGATTAAAGGCTGTTGTGCACAGGGTTGGACAACCAGACCCAGCTGGAGGCAGGGTTGGCCTCATAGCAGTCAGAAGAAGATCACTCAGCAGAAAACCCATTCTGCTCCCCATGTCACAAGGCTCTAGTTTCTACCTGAGAAGGCAGCAATTCTCCAGGATTCGTAAGCTGCTGCAGATCTGTGGGCAGACATCAAGCTGGAGAAAGCTTCTTACTTCATCTTCATARCTAAAGTAAAGCAGGAAGAAGCATCTTTAATGTGGTGTGCTCCACAACACATCTGACAGCAATAGCAAATTGAAGAAATATTCTGTGATTATTTGTCTTTTTAGTGCATGGTTTCAATCCACCAGGTGGGATCTATAGCACAACAAAGTCTGTGCCCTGCCCAGCTGGTGAGGAAGCAAAACAGARGAATGGCAGGGAGAGCCCCTGAGCTGCCTGGGTGCCATTGCCAGGAACCGAGAGGCAGGAGGTTGATTTGTAACACTTCCTTCTGGGAAGGAATTCAGGCCTTGCAAATRAAGTTGCATGGAAAAGTCTCTGTGTGTATGAATAACCCACAAGTTCTATTGACTGGTTTGTCAGTCTCAGTCTCATAAATGGYTCCTGGGCAATTCCATTTTATAGGAATTTCCTTCCTCTCATCATGTGGAGGGCCAAGGAACTTAAATCTCCATCTGAAATACTGCCTACAACTAGCAGTGCTGGCATTTTCTGATATGAGGGATACACAGGGAGAGAAATACCCAAGAACAAAAAGCAGCTGAAGGGAGTCAGAGGCAGTGGGGAGAGGCCAGATGAGGACATTTGARCTCCTATGAGAACCAGGACAGAGCAGAGCTCCACAYCCTCCCACAGAGYCAGCAGAAAGCACTGTGCCTGGGAAGCACAGCGGGAARAAGGGCCAGGCCTGGGCACTGGACACACGGCTGYCCCTCTTCCYGGGTGTGTTTAGGGTCTGAGTCTCTCCAGAGCATCCCCCAAGGCTTTATCCTGTCCCAGCTAGTCCAGATGCACTTTGATCCCTCAGCTGTAATCCAACAGCAAACACTGAGCACAAAAGTAGCAGTGAAGCGCTGTCTCTCTGGTAACAGCTTGATGGGAAACAGCCATCAACATCCAGGTGAACACAGCAWCACCAGCTGCTTCATCAGGACTCCTTTCTTTTGAGCATTAAGAATGTTACCAAGGGGGAAAACAGCATCCTTCCTACCTCTCCAGGAACCTCAGACACTCCTCCAGGCACTCAGCTTCCACCTTCTCGCTCAGGCTCTCGCTGACTCTCCTGGCAGTCTCTGTCTTCTCTGTTAGTATCTGTGGATTTCAACATGTGAGAGAAGAGCTGGCCAAAGCCATTTGTTCCCTGTGCAGTGAACAGGAATACATCCCACTGCTCACTCTGCAGCAAAGCCCTCTGCCTTCCAGGCAACAACTTCTGCTTCAGTTTTGAGACCCCTCAAGGAAATAAATTTATTTTTCAACAGCCTGATTGTAATGCCTGATCCTACACCTTTGCTTCTGCTGCTCTTGTGCTCWGCTTGGGAAAAAGCCTATCCCTGCAGATGTTCTCTGCTGGCCATGTCCAGCCTGGCAGCTCAGCTCATACATRGACCTGCCATCTGCAGGACAACCTGTGCTTCTTCCTGACTCACCCTCGCACTTAAGTTTGGGGGCAGCCACTAAAAAGAAGGTTAGACTGATCTAAYTGTGTGCCCTGCACCTCTGCCAGGGTCTCCACATGGGATGTCTGGAGAGGACAGGTGTCATTTTCCCAGCCACCACCATTCACACCTGACACAGAGCTGCATGTTAAAACCTACAGCTCATGTTCTCTCCCACTGACCCCAGCTGGGTGGCCCAGGTGTGTGCAGGAGCTGGGCTATGCCAGACAGCTCAAAATTCACCCCATATTGGGCAGGCCTGAGCAGGTGGCAACTTAATGCTGCCCATTAGCTGCTCTGTGGAAACAAAAGCTTGCAAGAGGAGGAGAGCCAGATGGATAAAAGGAGACAGATGGACCCATATGCTGTGCTCTCCCAGTGCTCGCCAGCCAGAGACAAAGGGTGACTCACATCATGAATGGGKTTTTCCACTGCTCACAACAGATGTAAAAGCTCACCCAAAGGGACAGGATAAAATATGCCACCACAAAGTGTCAGAAAACCACGGCTGATGAATTTTCATGACACCTTATTCATTTTCTATCTGAAGTTTGTGTCAGCCTGAGAAAATTGAGGAGGTGGTAATTTCATAAGGCTTTCCTATTAATCCAGGCTTTTCCATCACCCACCCCAGAGCATTCAAACCTGTCAGTTGCATACCCAACAGAGTGAAACCACTCATGCTGAAGCATGGCCAGATGTTACAGATATGAGGACTGTGGGATTCAAACCAGGCTTTGTCTTAATTCCCAACTGAAAACTTTCCACTGTGAGCCATGAGCAGGAAAAAAACAGTTTGGTAGCTAAAAGTCACCCTAGTAACAGGTACATCACTGGGTACATTGCTGCTCCATTGCTCCAGCAGGTATAGGGCAAGGCAAGGAGCAAACAGTCCCTGTTGTGAGCTCTGCATTGACCAGTGCTTGCCAGCTAAAGCTGTATCTTCATAAGGAAGGCCAGCTGCTGTTTATCTGCAATGCTTCCAGTGCCTGAGGTTTCCTGCCATCCCAAAGGACCATGGAGCTACTTCCCTCTCTCATGCCCTGAAACTGCTGCTGGGCTGGTGGAAGTGGAGAAGAAAGATTCAGTCATGACAGCCCACAGCCTGCCCCTGATCTCTAGCGTCGCTTGGGCTCATGTGTAAACTCCAGGATTTATTTTAATCCTTCTGCAGGTCTTGATCCAAATACCCTCTGCCCACGGCATATGCAGCTCATAAATCAGCAGWGTGTGCTCCTGCAGTGCCCTTGGAGCACCCGCCTTTGCTGTGCTCTGCAGAACCCCCTSGCACATCCTGACCCACCAGGGCAGCAGTCTCAGCAGGGGCACGCAGGGAGCAGCCTGCCTGCATTTTGCWCTGTCAAACACGGGCTCTGCCATGGCTCAGCAGCTCTCCCTGCTTTTATAAAAGTGCTCTGCAGAGCTCACACAGAGCAGACTGAGTAACAGACACCACAATGAAGATCCAGGCTCATGTAGAAAAATGCAGCTTCAGCTTGAATCAGCTCAGGCTCATCCTTAGTTTAGTAAGTGTTTTTTTTCCTTTACCTTTGCCCAAGACAAAAACATGTCTGGGAGCAAACAGATGCAGTTTAAGTATGGCAGCCARCTTGCAGGTTTTTACACATCAAGCTTTGCCTGAGACATGCAAAACTAGGTCTTGCCAAATACCCACATACTTGTGTGCAAGATGTATGGGAGCCTTTCAGTTCTCCCAGCTTACCTCAATGGCTGCAGCTTCTGCACAAGGGGGTTTCCCAATATCAAAGGCTTCTTTTAGTGCTTTGCCTACTTCCTTCTAAATGATAAAAGAAAATTTAAAAGTACAGTTAAGATAAAATGGCATTCATAACGAGTTAGGTTTCCCAGCCTCTCATTATGCATTTGGACTAGATGAATTTCTGCTTCTATTTTTTTGGCTGTCTCATTTAACCCAAAGCCTGGGTATTTTCCAGCTAACCTAATAACATTGTTCCATTTTGTTCTACATTGTTTGTTTGAGTTTAAATGATTTGCAGCTTTCTTTCATCCCAGTGTCAGCTTGGGTTATCTACAGTCTTCCCTAGTTAGCTTAGCTCCAATGAAGGCGCCCACACAGCAAAACAATGCTTAGATCCATCTCCATGCTGCCAGTTACTATAGCTGAGATTTTCCACCCTTTCTCTCTCCAACCAGCACCCACAGAAACCAGCCAGCATTAATTAAAAACATTCTCTTGCTTGAGCCAGGGACTTGTGAGTGCAAAGCTGGAGTTAGTGTTTAGAGCTACTGTCATGGTGAGATGGGCCCCATGAGGCTGCACAATGGGAAATTTCCCAAGACTTGGCTGGCTTATGCTAGTTTGAATGGCTGTAAAAACAAAACTAACACTGCAGAGAAAGGGCTTGTTGCTTAAAACATGATCTGACCTTTACAGAAGCCTTAAACTCAAAAGCCTGGCTCGCTTATTTATTCTTTCATTTCTGAATCTTCCTCCAAGGAATGTAAAGACTGATCTCCCATTTTTGTCTTTGTTCTCTTCTGGCTGATGAATTAGGAAATTTATGGCTGTCAGATGAAGAATTTCATCAAAAGTATATTCAAAACAACTGCTCTCCCATATTCACTGAAAAGTGTTAATCAAAGACAAATAAGCAGTTGTAAACAACCAAGAAAAATTCCTTTCCTCACAAGTTCCATCACCTGACTGTGAGCAAATGTGTGAAACCAATGTGCTGAGATAACACATCCCAGCTGAGCTGGACAAACACTTCAAGCCTGCCCGCCACAATCGGACAAAGCATGGCTTAGTGAGGAGCTGCAAGGCATTTAATAACTTGAGCCACAGCACTTAGTTGTTTTGGATCAGATGATATGTCTGAATCAAAAAGGGCTTGCTTATCTGTAGCTCTTGTAGTGATATCAAGACCTCAGGCACCAAAGCTCCAGTGTGGAAAGGACCAAAATTTTTGCTGCAATAAACAGGCCCAGTTTCCTACTTGTTCCTTCCTGTCTGACCAAAATCTTGCAAGGCTTCAGATCTGTGGATAGTCAGTACAGCTCTGCTGAGTGTAGCACATGGACTTCTCAGTCCTCCTGAAAAAATTAYTTGAAAAAATAGAGGGGTGGTCAGGAGAAGACCCAGACCCAAGTGATCCTTTGCAGGTCAGTGTAAATGAGTATGAGAATGAGCCCTGGCATCATGCTCAAAAGTTYGCCTTGCATTCATGTCAAATTCCCCAGCACAGCAAGGGCAGAGGTGACAGACTGAAAACTAAATCGATGGAATCATCATTTTCAGTTCACCAGCTTTGCAACTTCAAAGGGACAAAGCTCCATTGCCCCAGATGTGTCCAGGCTGAGGGAATGCTGACTGAGTTCCCCACACTGGAGTTTGGAAGTGGTTTTGAAYCCTATGGGTATCTGGACTCTCAGCACCTTCAGATATGATCACAGTTCTCACCACTYATTTCTGTTTAAAGTGCTTTTAGTTTGCACAGGTATTAGGCTGCCACCCCCAGTGATAAGCCWGGTATTCATAAGCAAGCAGACCATGTCTTATTCTGGTCAGGAAATTCTCATTCTGAAAAATTCAGTCACCCACTGAAGTGGCAAAACACAYACCATGTGATTTAGTCACAATTACATGTGACAATTGTTCAGAGATAACAATAGGATATTTGCTCAATAGCAACTTCCTGTATATTAGCATAATGAAGGGCTAAATTACCCTAGAACCAGAAATAGAGGGATAAAGCAGGTTTTATAAGCTGTGCCACTGAGCTGAAGAGACATCCATAATTTTTCCATATGGAGTCAGCTTATGTCCACTTAAGCTCATTAGCTTGAATCTGGAGCTGGTCCCAAGCTGGCCAGGTTTAAAGCRAGCTGGGGCAATGCTGGGCTACACTGCCCAGCACTCCCAGCTCCGTTCTCTCCGTACAATGCAGCACCACATGGAGATGAGATGCTTCAGAACCCAAGGTGGCACAAAAATTCAGGGCAGCATGGCACAAGAGCTCATAACCACTGCCAGATTGAAGTGAGCCTGCTCAGCACATGGTGTATCAGGAAAGCAGAAAGCCCGTGGTTAAGCAAAAGCATTCTTAAGCTATTACACTAGAGAGGGGAAAAGAAAAAACCAAACAAAAAAAACCCACATTAAATTTCCCATCACTGTTACTCAGCATCTTTGAGGGCTTCTCAGTGACTCAGTGACATGCTCTAGGATAACCTCAGTGGCACTACCCTGAGTTAAGTCACTTCCTTCATTGAAAAAAGTGCTTTAAAAAGAGCTTAAGAACACGTGGTCTTCCCCAGGATAATGATTAGGAAGAGCCCATAAAGATACTTAAACACTGAAATCAGTAGGCTTTAAGCATATTGTCACCAGCTGGCACTTCTACTCCCATGTTTGTGACTACCTTCATGTTTTCCTTCAGGGAATAAGTCTTGAGGAAAATCTCTGCAATTTAGAGTACTTTCTCTGGGATGATTCAGCAGTTTGCCATGGAATTTCCCCTCCTCTGCTCCCCAGGGGCTGGTGGAAATAGAAAGCAAGAGASCTGAGTGTGGTAACTCCTGCTGTTCCATTTCAACTTGAGCTGAATATAAGAAGCCCCGCTGAGTTTTCCAAATAACGTTGTTTCCTCTGAACTCCCCCGTTGCTACAAAACATTTTCCCTGCTTCATTTTCATTCCACGTGTCTCAACAGAATTGTTCAAAGAGGGAGCTTTGCTGAGAGAAGAAAAGAGATGCTGCAGCCCCCGGGCTGGGGTCACCTGTGGGATCACAAGGCAGGATTCTCTGCGGAGGGCTGCTGGGCGGGCACCAGCTGCACATTTTCCTGTGCTGAGCTCTGGAAATCATCTYTGCTCTAAMCTCAGCAGTGTCAGTCCAGCAGGCTGAGATTACTGCAAGGAGTCCCCCCACAGAAGAACTTAGCAGCCACAATATCCTGCACAGCTGAGGCAAAGGGGCTGTAAAAAACACCCCAACAGTTGCACACCGTGGGATCATTACCAGATGAGGAGAAGATGAACATCTTGAAATGGCCCTCAATAAGGAAGTGGGTTTCACCCAAAATCTCCCTCTCCTCCAGATGAATGGGCTTCTGAGCAGAGCAGATTGCAGYTCTGAATAAGCAGCAATCGGATGAAGAGAGATTTGCCCATGTCCCAGCATTTGCTTGCTAAGGAGCAGGGAGAGGGCAGCATCCCTTTAGCAGCAGACAACCATGAGCCTTCACACCCGGGCTCTGCAATGAAACTTGGTCAAGATGGAGACCTTGGGGTTCACACGTGCCTGAGCAGAGCTGGCTGCTTGATAAGGGCATCCCTTAATTTAAAACCATGGGAAAAAACCAGACAGAATTGGGGGAAAGTCCTGAGTTCTTACCCGTGCAATCGCAAGTAACTTTTCCTCAGTCTTCAAAATAATCCACACGAGGCACTGTGCGCCAAGGGGAAGGCTGTGCTGGGGGATGTGCCCGGGTCTCACACATGCCTGGCTGCCGCTGTGTACAGAAACAAGAGCTCAGCCAGAGTGGCATATTCCTGCAGGCCCACGGCGTTGCCTGCCTGGCATCCCTTTTGGCATCACAGCCCTGCACTAAGCAAACACGGTGCCCTGCAAGAACCCAGCAGTGTTTGCCATGCTTGGGCAGCCACAGCACAGCCGATGATCTTTACAATGGCTTTCTGCCAGCTATTCTTTTGTGCTGTTTCTTTTCTTTCTTCCTACATTTGCTGCCCAAGTTGCTTTTTGCTCGTTGTTTCCCTCTCCCCTTCCCACACTGCTATTGCTGAATTCCTTCTTAAGCTTGGGGAGAGTCTCCCGAGCACACTGACATGAATGCACAATTTTCCAAGTGTCACATATTCTCTCTGTATGGAATAAAAAGCAGCCATGTACCAAGACAACTGCATCTATGCAAGAGCTTTCATAGAGGTTGTAATTGTATTTAGAGAGGAAAAATCAAATGCTGAAGTCTGGCATCTCTGCTCTCCTTATTTCCATTTCCTTCAGTATCTTCTGATTAGTACAGTCACTGGTCTTAATTGTTTAGTTCTTTTTTCYTTGAAGGAATTCAGCATTTACATAATACATGTTTTCCTAAGTTTTACTTTTCTTTATATATTTAAATTGTATAAACTTTCCGCCTTCCATTGTATTGAAGTTTTCAATATTTCATCAATCCATTRCTCCAGAGTTTTACCATTTCAAAAGCAGCAGCAAAAGGCATGCCTCCTGACCACATCTCCCACGTTCCTGATGAAGGCCAGTGTGTATCCACCACACTGCTTCCCTCCTTCAGGAATGGCTGGGGAAAGAGTGCACCTGATGATCTGCTTATGAGCTAATCAAGGGTTTATAAGTGTAATTAATACAAGGAATAGAGAAGCTGTAGGCTTGGATGAAAGCATCAAATAATCCAAAAGGGCTGAGAACTATTAGGGCATAAATAGATTGGAGCTGCCAAGCAGCAATTAAACCAAGGACACAGAGAATCAAACGCTTCATCCACCATAAAAAAAGAAATCACAAGAAGGTTTCAGGCTTTGATGACACCCACAGGCTTTGAATTCACATTGGGTCAAAGGATCCCAGAAGTGCCATTCTTTAGATCATGGGGAAAGCCATAGCTGCTTCCCCGAACTTGGGCAGGAATTTAATGATCTGTTACTTGTTTTTCCTGTGATCTGAACACTAATGAAGGAAATACAGAAACAGCTGGGAAAACTAAAAGCCAGATAAAGCAGCATGAGAACCAAGGGCAGAACAAGAGGAGTCCATAGAGCACCATGCTGACATAAAGGCCAGAGAAAAATTACTCAAGGGTAATTGGAGTGTTATGGACATTTCTAAAAAAGGCTTGATGCAAGGAAAGTGTTCAATAAAGCAGAAAACTGTGCATGTCCAGCAGGAATCCAGCAGAGAAATACCTGCCCACCTCAGATAAACCCCTGAGTCCAGTATTAAGGATTTAGAAAGAGGCAGTACTGCAGYGAAAAAAGGCTTTGCTTCTGAGAGCACAGAAGATAAAAGAGGCAGTGGGCAAACTTAAACTCGGCAGGAGTCCTGATCACCACTGTGTTATCAGGAAGCAGGGGTTGTTCTCAGGAATGAAAAATAGAAATATAGAAAAAAAGGCCCTCAGACATACCTTTTGTACATTTTGATGCCCCATTCATAAATTAAAAGRCATTGGCTGAAGCTGAAACAGTTACTGTCAGTAAGTGTGGAGAGATGAGAACACAAAGAGGCATGACAGCAGCGCTCGTAGGTGACGAGCAGTCCTGCTTCCTTGAAGATATCACTTCTGTGCTCCAGYCTGGGGAGAAATGTCATTTCCAGATGGTTCAGGTGCTGTTTTAGTGCAGTCTCATCTGTGTTAGTAGAGGAACCAAACAGGGGAATCTGCGCTGTCATGTACTGCATTAGTTTTTCCTCCAGATCTTTTCTCCAGAAGTTTGGACTCCAGGTGGAAACAGACTCCRTCTCTACGCTGTTGCGAAGCCACTCTGCTTCCTTCTGCTTCTCCCACTTCAGTGATTCCCCCACTGACTGCAATGGCTCCAGGATCATCCTATCACTTCTACTGAGTGCTTCTCTCACTACAGTCCACATTCGTTCAGCCAGCAGAGCATAAAGTGATTCAGACTTTCCTACACCATCATTTCCAGAATGCTCCAGATCATAAATCTGATCACAAGCTTCCAGAAATTTTCCTTGCTCCATGAATCTGCAGATGATTTCCTCTGCAACAGAAAAAGAACACAAATTGCTATTTGTTCACTTGTCTATAAGACCTATCACTTTAATATCCAAGTTATGAAGTATCTAGTTTATATGCATCCCAAAATTCCTCAGGGATCTACTCAAGATCAGCCCACTTAAGATGCACTAGCATCTCTCAGTTTCCCCAGGGCAAGCGCTTTTTTGTTTCTAAATTTCTTTCATCCTTTTTCCTCTAGACTAACCAACCCTGCAGATTAGTCTGCAGCTTTCTGTCATCATTGCAGAGACCTCCTCATGTGATCAATGAAGGATCATTAATTACAATCTTTCCTTAAGAAATGTACCTTCTKCCCAGAAGAAAAGCATTAAAGAAAGGACATCTGAACAATTCAACACATGAAATTCAAGCCTAGAAGTAATTCTCTGCCTCCTCTACAGAAACCCTGGCAGGACCAAAGGGCTGCAAGCTCCCTTGGAAGGTCCCTCACAGCTGCTCACAGCCTGGCATGGCTAGGCAGWGGGGCTCAGTCCTGCCAGAGAACCCTGGCCTTAGGCTGAGACTGCTCAGTGCAGTCCAGGGCCCTCTCTTTGTCAGGCTCTTTTAACTAGGCCAAATGTCTACAAGTGCAATTTCACCCTGATGTGAAATCAGGTGAGCTACTTGTCTCAGCAATGGGGATTCCTGTAACGCCCCTGACTCCCACACCTGCAGGAGTCTGTGGTGATTGAGCCACTTTCTTGATCATCAGACACCCTGTCAATGCAGTTGCGAAATTTTTATTTTTCAGAAGTTGGAAGGAGATGTTTTTCTGTGCTCCTTGTTTCCAGGGTGTCTTACCTAACACATCCAGCCAACCAACTAGAGTTAAATGTCCCCTCAGAACAGCTGCACAGAGCTGAAGAGSTTCTCTTCATGTGTTTTACAGATTACAAGATTGAGCAATGAAGGGTTAAGGTTTGTCCAAAGGTATCTGGAGCAGAGCCCAGAGGACAAATCAAACTTGATGAGAATGCAGGGAAAGTTAAGTAAAGCCAGAAGCAGTGGGACTTAAATAATTCAGGATACAACTTCGGGTATAGAGTGAAGAATGAAAAAGTATGAGCTTCCATTACCTTTCACCTATATCCTTCCTACCTGTCCTCTGTGAAAACATCCCCTATGTGTAGGGGAGAAAGAATCAAACCAAACAGGACTGGAGGGAGGAAAATGACATGAAATGTTGAACGGTTGATAAAAAGATCTTCAACAAAGCTATTGGTAAGTTATTCAGGAGGGGTCTACAAGCTGCACCCATCCTGCCTCAGTACCTGAAACGCATAGGAAATGTTTAACTGGCACAACCAGCCCGTGTACACCCCACCTCCCCCTCCATCTGTGGAGGAACAGCGATGTCACACCGATGGGGTGTCAGTCACACGTACATCATCTTTCTCACAAGACACATCAGGAGTCTTTGCAGGAATAAAAATAAGAACAGTCAAGAGAAATGTTTGTGAGGCAAATGGAAAGTGAAATACAGAACTGTCCAGAGTAGCAAATGTGGGGTTCAGAAGGGACAAGAATTCAGGTGAAGGATGGGGAGGAGGAGAGTGGAAAGCRCCTAATCCAGACACTAATGAAAAACAAGGGACAGTGTGGCTGGGAGGGGCAGACAAGGTCCAGGCCTGGACCCAGAGATAATTTCAAGGTTACCTGCAGGTACCCTTCTCTCCACTCCCTTCCTACTGGTTGGCATCTTCAGCAAATTCCCTGCCACAWCCTCAGCACCAGCCTTCTCCACCATCTCCTTCCCACCAACCACAGTCTTCAGCAATTTGCCTGCCAAGGTTTCCAATTTCCTTTTCCTCTTTGCCTCCTGCTTCTTTCTCTCCTCATGTGTGGCCTTGGGCAGTATTCTTGCTTTTTCCCCAGCCATTTTCTCTCTCTTCTTGTTGTCTCCTCCCATGAAGGCTGCCCAGGAATGCTTTGTCTTCCTCATGATCCAAGCAGATTCAGGTATTTTCTGTCCAACTGGGAATACTATCAGAAGAAAACATGAGAAACACTTCAATGCGAAGTTATCTTAGTGTCTGTCTCATAGAGAAATTGTCTCTTTTTCTGGTTGKTTTTTTTTTGGTTTCTTTTTTTTTTTCTGCGCAGCTACAGGCTTCAGCTGCCTTTGAGAAAGTCTAACCTGGTTCCTGTCCGTGCCAAGTGAGGACACTTTTATAGGCTTCCAGCCCTCTTAYGTAATCCTTCTCTCTTCTAGGAAAATAATGTCAAAAACCTCATACATAATCTAACCGCAACCACTGGGGGAAAGCCAGGGGGATTTTTGGCATTTTCTAAACGATTAAAACATCCTTGCACTGCCAGTTATCTTGATGACAATCCTATCAGTTTAAGAAAGTTGATTATTAATAGCTTCTATGATGCACACATCCTTTTCCACCCACCCCACACGCCCAGGCTGCACCTGAGTTTTTCTTTGGCAGGGAGATCACATCTGGATTTGAGCCAAGTTTTTCCTCACCTCCCAGCAAGCCTAGTGCTAGCCTCCAGGGCTGTAAAGGCTCAGAGAATGGGTGTTGGTTTACATGTTTTCATAACACTATTCAGAGGAGATAGGAGCAACCTCAGCCTTCTGGAATGTGCAATATTCCAGCAACTATGTACACTATTATGCATTATTTTAAATTTATATACACACACATGAAAAATAAATGGTGTAACATTGCAGCAATCCACCATTTATGTCTGTGTGTGTGTCTATGTGTATATGCTGACATATGGATCAGTTCACCAGCCAATATCCACAAGTGAAGAAAAAGGAGATGTGTGTCTGCTTAGCACAAGGTCTGTATTGSACTGCTAAAGGTTCTGATCATAAACCACAGAAAAAATTCCTACACAGAAAGTGTCCTTTAAATCCAGGAGCTTGCATTTAAAAGAGATTTTTTAAAGTCCCTACACTGCTGTGAGAACTTAGAAGTTGAAATGCTGTCCTTACCACACCCTCCTTGCAAGAGAATTACAAACTGGGTTTAATTCTCGATTCCATTATTATAAAGCTTAAATCAAGAACTTGAGGATTTTCATCAGCTGAGGACAGTTTGTATCAATCATTACAAGCTGTATTGATTCAAACTCATACACTATGCAACAATGATTTTGAGGGTATGATTTTAAGGGGTGATTTTTCCACACATCATCTAGAGTGTTTCAAATRTGTGAATTCATATTTCTGGGCTTAATGCCTGCAGTTTCTACCAAGATTTTCTACATTTTCATGACAGTAAAATTCCACTAGTTTCCTGCTTGGAAACCAACTAAATGTTATATTGTTCTGGCTCTTTTACTGGTGCTTAGTTCCACCAGTCTGTTATCACAAAGCCATTTGATTCATTAGTAACAGTAGGGAGGAGGAAATAAACACATTTCATTTGGAAAGAGAAACAGAAATTCCAGCAGTGGTCACACATTTGAGCGGCTGCCAGTAGGAAATACTGAGGTTGCAAAATACAGTGTTTTCCCAGCTTGTGAATAAARTTGAAAATTGAGAGGCTTTATACAYATTCCATTTGGACCTTAATTTTTAATTGGCTAAAGTTGAAATGTTTTGTTTGAAATGTTATAGCTGCACAGTATATGAATRCAAGATGGAGTAAGAGGGTCAGTAGTGAGAGAAGCATTCCAGGCATGCTGAAACCCTTCAGCAATATTTTCCCATGAAAAATCCAACACAATATGTTTATGTTTCACTTCATCAGCATTTTTCCAACAAGCCTGGCTCTAACAAAAACCATTTCCCTAGATTTCTCTGTGGAAACAAATTAGATGTCAAAGTGCTAGTCCTGAAGGCAAGACACTCTGCAGTACATAGATTTTGAACACTTAGAATTGCAGATTGTGCCCTAAACTGCGGCAACACAATGTGTGGGAATTGCTGTGTTTTCCCAGAAAACTTCTTTCAAAGGAATACAGTACAAGCCTGTGGAAAGCAGGGAATGACTGCAGAGATGGACAGACATCCTAAGGCCAGGACCAGCTCTTACCTCATGGACTGCTTGACCCACTCAATCAAGGGAATGTCAAACACTCCCCAAGATGAGAGTGCCCTCAGGGCACAGCTGGCCAGAGCAGCCCAACAACCCAGATGGCTCCTCTGTCCTGCCCTCCTCTGGCTCCCAAAGCCAGTGTGTGTAGGCAGAGCAGCCATGGCCTCGGCGAGCAGGCAGCCAGGAGCACCCTGCGAAGGGGCAGCAGGATGGGGGTGCTCAGTCTGACCAAAGGTGCTGAGCCCAGCAGCAGCAGGAGTTGATTCCCCAGTGGAGCAGCAATCCATCATCACTCACTCTGCAACCCCTGTCCCTGACTGCTTTGGGCTCAAGGATGTTGTCACTAAGGGGAATGCGCTCTGCCAGGAGGGGACATGCCACAAAGGACCTGCTCAGAGGCCACCAGCAGCCTGCTTTTCTGGGCCTGTGTGCCTCAACAGCACTTGCAGGGTGTAGAGGCCTCTCCCTCTATCTCTAATGTTATTTTACTGCTCAGGCTAAAATTCTGCAGTTAAAACATGGGGCTGATTTGAATCTCTAGGAACATAATCTACTGCAGTGCTGCCATGGATGGTGTCATGCCGAGACAGGCAAAGCTGTCAGGGAAGCTACACCTTTACATRAAAGTGTTGAGACCAAACTAGAAGAGAGTATTTTCCCCTAAGCGTTTACATAATACAAAGGGGATTATTTGCTGTCCAAAACCATTGTTCTGGTCAGAGGAATTTGGGCTCAGTCATGTTTTATCTGCTCCTTCCATGTGCTCCTGAGCTGCTCACACAAGGGAAGTTGTTCCAAGGAAAGAAGGGCAATAGGAAACCACAAGGACACAGGACCAAGAGCAAGGACAGTTCTGCTTCTGAACAAACTCCTTTGTCAGGTGTACCAAATGACTTTCTTCTTCCTCCAAAGCCACTTCTTGGAARCCAGCCCTGTCCTTCTTCCTGGTGTTTCAATGCCTCCATTTATCCACAGTGGGATGTTCTCTAGCARGGTCATTCTCCCTGCCCTGACCCTTGCTATGCTTACTGTGAAAGAAGAGCAATTTGTCTCCTAGGAACATCCCCAGCATTCGGGAGTTTCCCTCATTGCCTGGGGCTCCTGGAAAAGTCCACAACYTCCCCACATCACTGAGACTCTGTCTTCCTATCTTGGAAAAACTGTAACTCCTTTGTCTTTGGGATTTTCCATTAAACAAGAGAATATCTTGGATAAATTTTTATATTGTTTCTCTGTTGACTTAACTCTTTATCTTGCCATTTCCCATTTCTTCTGTCTATACAGATAAAATCTCTTCATAATAAGTGGATTGTGTGCCTGACYTGAACAATAGCTGTTTGGTCTGGATTCTAATCGGATGAAGTCAGACTATTAGCACTACAAATAAAATGACATTGCAATAGTCCAATTTAATTAATATTCCAATTCCAGCAATGCAGTGATGCCCCTGCTTGCTTTGCAGGGGCAGCACACAAACACAGTCAGGCACAGATAATGGAAACTTTGTGCTCAGTAGCACCTGTTACATGAAATACACTTGGTCCTAAGAGGCAAGTGGATCTGCAGTATCTGGAAAGAGAAGTTTCTCACTTCCTTCTTTATTTCCAGAATATGCTGGTACTTTCCACCACTTTGAACCAAAGGCATGAGACATGGCTGAAAAGAATATGAATTATAATGATAAAACATGCAGAGTACAGCACAGAAAGATGTTGACTCCCTAGGATATAAATCCATTCAAAACCACTCTGTGAAGCTTTTCTGGAGTCTGACAATGTGTTCCTCCACCCACACACTGCATCTTTGATTTCATCAGCAATCAAAGAAGAGCAAGTCTACATTCCAAGGTAGGTTTTTTTTTCTGAGAGAGAGAAAACAAACAAACCAACAAAGAAACAAAACAAAAGCAYCTTCCCCTACCCCACATTTGACATTGCAGCTGGCATTGCCATCACAGTCGTATGCAAGAGGTGACTTTGTCTATTGTGGACAGTTTGATGTTTATCATCCTGGGGAAAGCATACATTAATTCTTACTTCCTAAGGATAACTCCATTTCCTAAGAAAACAAGACAGCATAGCCAGAGGTTGTGTTTATCTCTGTATTCATGTGATACCCTGCCCTAACACATAAGAGTGGATATTAAGTTAGTTTAACCAATTTTAAAGCTAGTTTTAACAAACTGACAAAAGRTGGCTGACACAAAATAGCGCATCCTTACACACTTCCTAAACACACTTGTCTGGGGAGAGGATAGACCTTCACTGCCTCTGCTGACGAAGAGAACACAGCACGAACTCAGCCTTTATTTCACATCAGAGACTCTGCCCTGCAGCTCAGTGTGAAGGTACACAAACATGGTTCCTTGTCTGTGTTGCTCACCAAATCCCCTGCACTCTCCAGATAACCTGTGTRTGTTTGTGCYAGAGCAAATAAAGCAGCACAAATAWTTATTACAGGCAGCCTCTCCTAYAGCAACAGATGAAACCAAGTTGCTTCCCTACAGTGACTCTTGGCCCCAGGCTGCAACCTCTCACCTCTGGAGATCTGTGCTGCCCAAAACAGGCCACAGATTTTGGAGCAAAAGGGAAAGAAAGRAGCTTCTTCCTTTCTCTGCCTGCGTGGGTTTGCTTGAGTAGCTTTTCTCTGCTCAGCCACTCATTTTTATCCCATTTTGAAAAAGTTAATCTGAGACTTCTGTCCTTCTCTGGATTTGTCTGAAACTGGAGTAATTTGGTTTATGAGGAGAGGACAGGCAGATGGATTGACAGAGATGCTGTATGGTCCCAGCACTTTCAGCAACCACACTAMAGTCCTGAGGATAAGTTCCCCAAAGAATTGAATACTGCTCCTTCCCCTGCCCTGAGCACTGAAACAAAACGTTGGATATAAAATTTTGCACTGCCTCTGTTTTCCCTCTGATTGTGAGGACACCATTTCAAACTGACCTCAATTTTCACTTAATTAGTGACCTACTTTGTTGTTCCTCTTGAACATTTTTAGCTAATTCCTGGGGATTTTGCCTAATTCTGTTTTTTTCTTTTCAGAATGAAACAAGCATTGCTTTMAGGAAGATGCTTCGCCTTTTGACAAAAATGGCAATAGTAGTAATAATAAATAAATAAATAAAAAACACAACCCCCAAAATTTTGAAGGTGAACAGTA